GGCCGCTTGCCCGAAGGACGCGCAGCCGGGAAATCCCGGATCCCCACTCGCGGCAGAGGCCTTCGTGGCGCGGACCGGCTGAAGGCACACGGAGCCCCTTCTGCAGCCGCGGCGACGAGCGGCCGCCCCCGAGACGGGAACTTTCCCTGCCTGGATTCCAGCCAAGCCGACCCGCAGCCCAGCGGAGGGGGCCGAGGGGCTGCGTTCGGCTGGAGGGAAACACGAGAGGCGTGCAGCTCTGGGGCGGGGGACCTGCAGAGCGCGGGCAAGCAAGCGGGGGAGAGGACACGACTGTGGGGATGTCCTGGGGACCCGCGAGGAAAAAGCTTCGGGGAATGGAGAATCGATCGGGGGACCGAGCTGAAACGGAGGGGACGAAGGCTAAGCCCGGGGACACAGGAGGACCTGCAAGTTCCAGGGACAAGAGCGAGTTTCGGAGGGTCCGGAAGGTTCGGGGCGCCTCAGAGGGCTTCCCTTCCCCCACGCGCGAGCCCCTGGCCCCCAAGCCCACTCCACTCAGCACCCCGCGCTACGCCAGAAGGAAGAGGTGTGGGTGCAGTCATCCCTGAGGGCGCCCATCCGCAGCCGGCGGGCAGGAGAGAAGGGGCGCCGACCCCTCAGTCCCTTCCATCGCAGCCCCGACTTTCCTTGCCACGCTCCCGCCGCTTCGGATTTGAGAAGTGGGGGGAGGTTGTCATGGAAACGTCCCCCCTTCCATAGCTACGGCTCCTGGGGGTGCCCGGGGGGGTATTTCGGGACCAATCCGCGGGTGCCCACAACCTACCTGTGGGGATCAGTGCCGCGGCCGAGAGGAGCAACAGCAGGAGCCGGAGCCGGAGCCCGGGAGGCGCTGCCGCCGCCGCCACAGTCGCTGCCGCCGCACACTGGGATCCGCTCGGCAGCACAGCACTCGCCATGTCGGGCACCTGCCTCAGACTGGCGGCGGTCGCTGCCTCCCGAGCCCGAGCGGACAGCTAATGAGATGCTAATGAGATGTGCTAAAGGCGGAGTCAGGGCCGACCAATCCTGGCGCCGCGAGCCCAACCCGGCTCTCGAAGGACTAGACCCCTCCCCCACCCCGCCCCCTGGCGCTTGCGTTCGGCCGCGCGCCCGCGCCACCTAGGGGCGGGGCCGATGGGCGGGGCCTATGCAAATATGTTTACGTTAAAATTCGGCTTAGCTTCCCCGCCGGAGGAAAAGTGTACTGCCCCGGCGCCTGGCGTGGAGGCGGGGGAAGAGGGCTGCGGCTCCAGGAGGCGGGTCTCTAGTTTCTGGGCACCGTTATTAGGAACATTTACGGCAGTCGCCGCGGCGGACTCACGCCTGACGAGTCTCACCGCGAGGCTCCTGGGCCCGAGCACTGCGTGTGCATCGGCCTGTGGAAGTCACACTTTGCGAATTTCCTTCCTTCACCTTGCACGAAGGAATGAGATCTTTGGGAAACCAGGGAGTGGAGAGTGAGAATGCAGGTCCCCGGATTGACAAAACAGTCTGGGAGAAGTGCATGCGTGCTTTGCACGTCCGGCAAAGCGGGAGAGCCCGCTCAATAACCTAGCGGTAGACTAAGGGATAGTAGAGAGATTGAAGCCGAGAAGTCGCGTTCTGGGATTTTCAAGAGTATGTTTGGCTGTAGATTCTAGGGAGCGGTACATCGCGGGCGGGGGTGGGGGATGCTCCGGCTCCCCATCTTGTTGAAAGTATCCTTCCAGTGTTTAATAGATTTTAGCATGTAAGCAATATGTATTTAAGATTACACGCACACAAAAACACAAAATCTACCCGTCAGGTTTGTGGGGAAGGAAATGTGGGGAACCAAGTACTGCAAAGATAGGGAGAGTCAGCCGAGTTATTCCTCCAGGGCAAAAATCAAGTCTTTTCTCTGCTGTGCTTTCAGTCCTTTTTAAGGCTTCTAGAGACCAACAGGTGCTCCCGGTTCCAGTTGTGTCTCGGAGAAGTTCTCCTGCTGAAGAGACTTGTATGCCTCTCTGGACGCACTCTCCCTCCCCTAAATTATCTTTGCTTTCTTTTCAACCAAGCAGGCGTCTCTCTTGTTTGTCTGCCTTTTAATTACTTATTTACTTCCCCTCTAGAAGACCGTGTGCGCTCTGACCCTCTGTTGCTCAAGCATCAAATTGAAGGACGAGCCGTATTAAGTGTAAAGGTTTATAATAATTTAAGTATTCATAGAATGTAGAACAATAAGATGTAGGAAATACAATTTGCATAATAAATATCAATATCACAACAGCTAAAACAAACCATGACAAATTATCTGTGGCTAAATGACCAAGAGATTACTGAATGTAAATTGCTGAATCTGAACTATAGTGTAGAAGAGCCGTACCAAAGCCCTCTGTCCTCATGTCGCAAATAAATTAAAAAAATAAATATCAAAAAGGAAGTTAAGATCGGCCAACCCATCAAATGAGTTACACATTAAAGCAGCCTCATATTATCCATTATGCATAAACTAATTTGCGAAACTGCCCTGTCTCCACATCCCTGGATCTTCTGCTCTGTAATTACAGGCCCCAATGCACGAACTGCAGGCAGTCCTCCGGAAGTGGAGAATGCCCCAATGGGCAAATCACACACAGTACATGAGGCAGAAAACCAACACCATGTGGCCACCAGGATAATGTCCAGTCCGCAAAAAATCCTATGTGTTCTTATCATTGCCAGAAGTGAACTACCTTGATCAGATCCGACGCAAAGCAGATTTCCACCCAAATTAGAATGAAGCCAGAGACTGACAACGGAATGTATACTGCTGAATCTGACCCCACATCTCAGTCACAATAGCCCACGGTCAGACACACGAGAATGTTCTGCTACTCATGTGTCCTTGAGGAAGGAATTTTTGTGCATGATCTTGTTTAAACATTGAGATATTCTATTGTTTTCCTCCATTTTTTTATTCAACATGGCTAGAAAAATTAAACGCCAACCTTAAAAAAAAATTTCCAAATTGTAGACAGAACCCTCCCAACTAACCACTATGCTGCACTGTGCCTCAATAAATACATGTTCAGTGAAGGAATAAATTTCACATCATAATGCATGAATAATAAGCAAAGGAGAGCTGTATTTTTAACATAAGGTGAAAATATGCCAGCAGCCCAGAAATGCTTTTGAAAATAACAGGATTGCAGCAGACTCCGAAGGAAAGGATTCCTCATGAGGCTGAGGCTCCAGGAGAATGTAGCCAGGCCCTAGTCCTCCCACACTCAGAACACAGTATGGGGACATTGGAAGTGCTGGAGTGTTTTCATCTCCCTCCGTTCTCTTGGCACTTCAAATGAACACCTACTCAGATTTCCAGTTGGCAAAGAACAACATGGGACATTTCTATAGGAAATGCCAGTGCTGTATGACTTACCTCACTGGAAGAATGCAAACAGCCTCAGAGATTGCCACAGAAATGCTGCCTGCCATGTAGGATTTGAGGAACTTGGCACACACGGTTTTACCAGGTATGGAAACTGAGGCCTGGTACACCTTCTGCATACTAGCCAGAGGTGGGAATTCAGGATGAAGCAAGCAGTTGTTGCTCTGTCTTCTAGCCACGCTCCTCTTCCACCCCCCCACCCCTCCCAGCTCTTTCACACCAAAGATGTCGCCAAACGATTTAACATATGGAACATGCGAGGAACGCATCAAATTCCCACAGCCGCTAAGTACAAGTTATGACTACCCTGGCTTTCTCATAGCAAAGCGCGTCATTTTCTGCTCCACGGACTAGAACTCACCGCCAAGAACAACTTCCAACATTTTTCCCCTTGCCTCATGGATTGAACCAATTTTAAAAACCAGATGGTGTTTTTGCCGTTTATAACTGGTAATCAATTGTTTTGTGAATTTAATTTTTTTCAAGAAAGAACTGAAATACTTATCAGAATTACAATCTGGGTGCGACTTGTGTTAGAACAAACTTGCCAGAAGCACCAAGACCCTGGTTTCCTTCTTTCTTGCTTTCTTTTTTTTTTTCTTTTTTTATGAGAAACCAGAGAGAGACTTAATATTGTTTGCCTTCACCAAAACAGTTGAGAAATGTGGTTAAACATATATAAAAAATAAGCATTAAAGGGGATTCATGTTTGTGGAAATAGATCAGAGATAATTAATGGCAACTTAGTAACATTTTGCCTCTTAAAATGCTAATTATTTTAATACCCATGTATAAGAGCAACTCAGACAAATTATTAAGAAAAGGAAAACAGTATTCGGAGTCAGCATTTGCCCAGCTACTGAGTTATTTAAATATTCATGGAAAAGTATTTTAATCCATGTTACTGACTGTGATTCCTATCCTGTCCCCCTACACACCAATTCGTACAATGAAACTCTAAGCCCAAGGCAACGCTCTTTGGGGGTGGGGCCTTTGAGAGGTAATTACATTTAAATGAGATCGTGAGAATGAGGCCTCCATGTTCTTCAAGCTGTTTAAGAACAAAGAGACAGCGGAGTTCTACGGGTGTGTGCAAAGGAAGTATGGCACATTCATGGCAACAGGTGGACTTTGCAAGGCAAGAAGAGGATGCTCACAAGGATTTAACAATGCTGGCACCATGATTTGGACTTTAAGCCTCTAGGCCAGTGGTTCTCAACCTTTGGGTCAAGACCCCATTTGGGGTCAAATGACCCTTTCAGAGGGGTCGCCTAAGATCACTGGAAAACGCAGACATTTGTATTATGATTCATAACAGCAGCAAAATCACAATTATGAAGTAACAATAAAAATAATTTTATGGTTGGGGGTCACCACAACAGGAGGAACTGTGTTAAAGGGTCACAGCATTTGGAAGGTTGAGAGCCACTCTGCTAGACTTTAGGAATGGAAGGAAAATAATGCTTTGTTGTTTCAACCTTCGCTTCTTAAATTGTGGTTCATAGCCTCTATGGAGTTATGTGAAGGTCGTTTGAAAACTGGCACCACTGAGATTCCTTAACATGCAGCAGTCAAACAGTAACTTAAAATCAAATATGTGATGAATTTGAGATGTTCCTGACAACTCTTACTAGTGTTGGCCTGTGTGATGTCACCGCAGCCTTAGTTCTGATACACAAAATACACACTTTGCACTGTACATGGTGTGTGTGCCATCACTCCGTGCAATGTCAACAAACACTACAGCAACACTCAAGCCCAAGTTTGAAAGCACTGTGTGCCCCAAGTCACAGTGCATTGCTTCTCTGCTCTTGGGGGAACGTGATGGTTTAAGTATGAGAAGCAAAGAATGTTTATATTTTGCTACAGTCATTTCTCAGCATGTCTCAATTAGTAGATCTTTGGATTGTTTGGGGTTGTTTTTTATTTTTTTTTTTTAAAAATGCTGTTTGATGACTCACATTTTATTTTTAAATTATTCACATAATTTGGACTCAAGATTGGGGCAGAATTGCCAATAATTTCTAAAATGGCCCCAGACATGCTTCTGCTGTCTTATGCTACTTATCTTTGCAAAGCAGCGTTCTCAGCTTTGGCAATTATAAACTGACAACTTCAATCAACTCTGAAAAGTATTGAAGTCTGTATCCTAAAGTACCAAATATTCAGCTAAGGTTCAAGTTTTTATGTAAAACTGAATAAACAAACCCAGCTTATTGGTGTGTAAATTTCCATTAATCTTTACTAAATGGTAACACTGTCTGTACACCAAAGAACTATTTTTTATTTTTATTTGTTTTTATGGGTAAATGTTTCATTTGTTCACGTATTATATATATATATGTTTATATATATATATATATATATATATATACGTATACCTTGTGTTGCATAGAAATTTCCTGGGCAAATAGGCATCACAAGCAGAAAGTAAATTAGAAGTCCTAGTTTAAGGCACCTAGTCTTTGGTATTTTGTTGTAGCATTCTAGGGACACTGAAACAATCTGTGAGTCTTATCAAAGGTACATTAAAGTATCCTTAATGCCAACTTCTTACAGAAAAGTATTTGGCAAATTAATGTTAAGTTAGAGGCAAATTGGACTAGATAAATCCTTGGTCCTACCTAGTAGACAGCTTTTGTCGTCTTAGATTAAGACTAAGCACTAAACAGCTCAACTTTGTGAGGAGTGTCTATGAATCTTCACGAAACCCAAAGCCAGCTAAATCCATA